ATTCTTGCTGTTTGTGTTTTTATAGTAGGTGGAATCCCATTGAAATGGGCCAACAGCATATGGAAAAGTGATGATGCAGAGACCGGAAAGCTCAGTGCCTTGCCACAGTAGGAGGAATCCCACTGAAATGGGCCAACAGCCCATGGAAAAGTGATGATGCAGAGACCGGAAAGTTCAGTGCCTTGCCACAATAGGAGGAAGATCATCCCACACCTACCACCTCCTCCAAGGCTCAGGGACTTTTGTGCAAGTGGTTGGTGGAAGGAATGTAAGAGCCAGAGGAAGGGGTGGAGTGTTAACTGGTAATGTCCTCAGACCACTATGCCAGCAAGCTATAGTCACACCTCCTTCCTAGCTCATCAAGGGGTTGAGGGCGGATTCAGTTACCCTTCCCATCCAATCAGTCGACCTTAGCTACACATGGGGTAGTGGCTAAGGATATTTAAGCCGAGAATGTCAGGAGGCATCTCTCTCACAATTTTCAGCAGCTGTTGGGAAATCACAGGATCTATATTTGGGTGTGGACTTTCCAATGCAGTGGTAAATGGGGGTGCCCATTCTTCTGTAAATAACCCCCCACCCTATGTTCTGTTAAAAAAAGAAAAGAAAATGATAGATATTTGGATAGAGGAGAGGAATCTGACTAGGCCTTAAGTGGATGGACTTGCACTGGGGAACATCTGGGGACACTGACATGACACAGAGGGCCTTAATACTCAGGACAGAGCATATGGGTGGCAGTGGGGGGGCTATGGGAGGGTGCTGGTGGGGTCGGGCCTAAAAAGATGATTCAGACTGTTTGAGATATTCTGTATGAAATACAACAAAATTTAATAAAAACAAAGTTTTAGAAAAAGAATTTTCATCTAGGGCTGACCCACTAAGGGCCTTAGGGCCCTTGTTTAATTAAGCTGACATGGGTCCGGCGTTGGACGCCACCACTGCTGCACATGAGCAAGCCTTCACTGGCCTGGAAGCCTCCACCTCATACGTTCATGAACCAGCCCTGGCTCTTACAATCTTTCCACCTCCTCTTATGCAATGGTTCATGAGCCGTGGGTGGGTGAGGTTCCATATAGGAGTTCCATCCTACACTCTACAGTCTCTTATTCTCTAAAACTTGGTCAGTTGTGGCCTTCTGTGTGTAATGCACTCTGATGTACACAGAAACCTCGAGACTGGTTGCTGCTGGGTGAAGGACAGTATGACCTACATACAACCACTGGATGGGCTGACTAGACTCCAGTGGACACATTTACACTGAAGGACAATTGGGTACAAACACCTGAATGAATGGGATTCAGCATGTATGGCAGAGTGCATAGGGTTTGATGTGGGAGAGGGAGGCATGGATTGGGGAGGGGTTCTGGATGTGAGTGGGAAATACTGTATGAAATTTCAAAGCTCAATAAAAAAGTGAAAAAAGAAGAATTTTTATTTCCTTCTTGGCAGACTACGCCCTTCTTGCTTTCCTGGTTTGGACTGAAAAGTCAGCAGTTATTCTGATGTGCTTGTGTTCATTTGTGACCTGGTCCTTTTCTTCTGCAGCTTTTAATATACTTTTCTTTGTTCTGTACATATGGTGTTTCAACTATTATATGATTCAGGAAGTTTCTTTTCTGGTCTTGTCTTTTTCATGTTCTGGGTGCCTCTTGTATCTAAATGGGTTTTTATTCCTCTAGATTTGGAAAATTTTCTACCATGTAATTAAAAATATTTCCCATACCTTCTGCATGAAATTCTTCACCTTATTGTATGCCTATACTATGTAGGTATTGCCCTTTCATGGAGTCCTAGCATTCTTGCATATTCCATTCATACAGTTTTAAAATTTGTCAATGACCTTGACTGAATGATTCAATGTCTCTATTTTGCCTTCATACCCAGATAGTCTATCTTCCATGTGATCCATTCTGTCAGTGAAACATTCCCCTGAATTTTTTATTTTACCTATTATCTTTTCCATTTCCATCATTGTTATCAGTTTTGGTTTTCTTCAGTATTTCTCTTTACCAAATTCTACCTTTATATCATGGATTGACTTCTTTATTTCATTCAGCTGTTTGTATTCACTTCAAAAATATTTGAGTCCACTTTGAGTTGTTTTACCACACATATAATCATTCTCTGAATTTTGAATCTGAAATCTTGTCTAAGCCATTTTGATCAGGGGGCATTAGTATGTGTTTGGCAACTGTTGGTAACTGTTGGAGGAGACAAATTGCCTTGGTTTTTCATGTTCCTTGTGTTTTTGTGCTGAACAATCAAACATTTTGGGTTAAATCATTGGTTAAGAAATGTTGCTGCTTTTGTTCTTTTAGTTTAGGTTACTTCTCTTTTTTCAGTGGACAAGTTTACACTATTCAGGAAAGACTAGGTTGTATTGTAGTTATGGTGATGTTAAACTGTTGTTCCAGGCACCATCTTCAGTCTAACCTTGTGGGTTGAGTACTGTGTGCAACAACAGTCACTATCTAGTAGTTATTCCACTCTGATAATACAGTAGCAGATGACTAAAAAACATACACTTGTTAAAGCTAATTAATTTAGGGAATAAAGGGACCCTTATGGTACTATGTATCTTAATGTGCTAGTTATTGTGGATATGAGTGTAAAATAAAAGATGTAGAAGTAAGCAACCACGGTGAGAATGGTGATAATTATCAGGCTGTTATCTGGGAAGTAGATGTGAAATAGTTAGACAAAGGAAAAAGTGGGTGTATATATGTAAGTTTTGGTTAAAAAGAGGAAGTAAAGATTTGCACCCAGATATCATAAACCTGGGTGGCCTCTGGACTTTGGGAGATGTAAGAGGAATGGATACAGGAAATAAGAAAGCAAGAAAGAAAAAGGAAAAATAAATGGAAAGAAGTAAAATTTTTATTTTCCTTTTTTCTTTTTTTTTTTTTTTTTTTTTTTTTTTTTTTGACAAGCTCTACTGTAACCCCAGCTCTCCTGGAACTCACTATGTAGACCAGGCTGGCCTGGCTCTCACAGAGACCCATTTGCCTCTATCTCCTGAATGCTGGGATTAAAGGCACACACCACCACACCCAAGAGAGTAAAATCTTAAAAAGCACAAACAGCAGGGGACAATGTTGGCTTGTTAGAATGCCCTACTGTGGCTGCAGTAGCTATCAAGTAGGCCTGAAAAAAGAACTCGCTGGAGATACAAGATAATGGAATCACTGGCAAGTAAGGAATTGCTGCAGTTGGAGAGTTGGGTAAAGACATAAGAAAATGAGATCATTAGCCTGAATTTTGATTTCATCTCCTTGGAAGAGCCTGGTCTTGTCTCCCGGGTCCTGGTGTGAGCTGTACTCTATGCTCTATTCTCTTGTGGGCTCCTAGCTCCCCTTCTGGAGTTTCCTTCACTCTGTTCTGTGAGCTGTAGATAGCAAAGGCAAACTGCCTAGCCATGGTTGCTGCTTTCCAACTGCAGTGGGACTGGCTAGTAGTTGTACAGGGCCCAAAGTACTGTTTAGATCTTGTGCTTCGCTCCCATGTCTTCACCCTTCCCAGTTGGGGCAATGATGGTGGCTTTGGGAGTAATCTCTGTGAACTCATTTATGAAATCCCTACTAGTGCCACTTTTGTAGATATCCTGATAGCAGGAATCGTTTAGCTCAGTTTGCCTGGTGTAAAATGCTGTTATGGCATTGTCATCTTGCATTGGTTGCAGTCACAATAGCAAGTCCAGTCCTATGGAAGAGAAAGTTTGTGAGTCCAGTGGTACAGGAAATGTGTTGATGTGTTGATCAAGTGAAAATCAGAACTAGGGAAGAAGCTAATTTAGTGGTAAAATATTCCTGTTTCCTTTAATTCCCTAACTATAATCAGTCACATGTTCCAATGTGACTTTTAGTCTGCCATCTTACCCAGAAGTACCATTTACTGAGTTTTTCATTTCCATCCTCTTTTCTACTTGTTTTTTTTCTTCAGTAAGCCTACTTCTTCACTGAATTCTTTTTTCGTATATTATGCTAACCTCCTTATTTCATTCATCTCTTTGTTTTTGTTCTATTGGAGAATATTCTTGTCTACTTTGAGTTATATGAACATAGTTATAATCATTGCTTCAAATTCTATGTATTCTCAGTGGGGTGCAGTACTATGGGATTAGTAATTTTTGGAGGAGATAATGTTATCTTGGATTTTCATGTTTTTGCTGCACTAGGGACTTGCACATCTGGAGTTAGTTGATTGAGTAAAAGTGTGGGCCCCAGGTTGGTGGTGTGGGGAATGCTTACCTTTCTGCACTGGGAGCTAGGAGAACTACAGAAGTGTGGGTCAGAGATTCAGGACTGGGCAACCCCCCTACCTATAGGCTTTGAGAGTTGGGGAGACTGGGGAATTTTGGGCCATGTGGTCAGGATATAAGGACCCAGTGTTGGGAGCTAGAGGGACAGAGGAAGTTTGAATACAGTGCTCAGGGTCCAGGAACTGCTTATCCATCAGAACTTGGGGCTAAGCAAGCAGCAGCAGAAGTTTGCCAAGTGTTTGGGGCCCAGAAATCCCTTACCTGTCACCAATAGGACCAAGGAAGAAGGTAGAAGTCAAGGCTGTGCAGATGCCAGAGATTTGCTCCCTATATCTGCTTTCCTATAACCTGAGCAGCACATCACCACTTCTAAATATATGGGTCATTTATTGTTCCTGGCACTCTTGGGAGCAAAGAACCAGAGATGATTGACCCAAGGTGAAAAGTTTAACTAAGTAAATTATCTTTTTCTGGAACTTTATGACTAAGACTAAGAAATGCTAGTAAATGTGTCTTAGGGACACCACTTGGGAAGTGGTGTGAAAGTGAGCTGAAGTGGGGAAGGAGCATATTTCAAATGTACTGGGGGGAAAAACAAAGAATAAAGGGTGGGAAGGTAGAGAGAAGAAGAGAAGATAGGCCAGGAAAGAGAAACAGAAGGAGGAGAAAGACATCAATGAGAAAGAGGCTCTGGACCTCATGATTCATATCACATATGCCATCTATCTCATTTTTCCAGATTCCTGTGTTCAACAGTGGAAGATTTTATGGTTGATATTGTAAAGGCCTGGAATCAAATAAAACAGAACAATACAACAGTAGAGTCTGTGATTTTGAAAGTAAGCTTCCTTTCCTTTTGTCTTCATAATCTTTGTTGAGCCAGGGCCACTTTTCAAAAAAAAAAAAAAAGAAAACATGCCTCTTACTGTGGAATTATGAAATAAAGGCAAAGTTGGGCAGCACCTTCCATCTTTGACAAATGAACAATGGCACTTTGCATATGTGCCAGGCACCTAGACATATACCAAGCATCTGCCAACAGGTAGATATAAGTGTACACTAAATATGCATGAGTAGGGATATACACCAGAGCACTGAAAAAATATGTGAAATATATGTGTGAAATTGTGGAATTATGAAATAAAGGCAAAGTTGGGCAGCACCTTCCATCTTTGACAAATGAACAATGGCACTTTACATATGTGCCAGGCACCTAGACATATACCAAGCATCTGCCAACAGGTAGATATAAGTGTACACTAAATATGCATGAGTAGGGATATACACCAGAGCACTGAAAAAATATGTGAAATATATGTGTGAAATATACCAGGCTTTTGAGATGGCTCAGCAGTTAGAGTGTTTTCTGTGAAAGTGTGAAGACAAGAGCTTAGACCTTTTAGGGGCTTAAGCATATGTAAACTCTTGGTGGGAATAGCAGCCCCTCTGTAATTTTAACCTTGGAAAGTGGAAACAAAGGATTCCCAGGCAATCTGGCTAGAAGACTATCCATATCAGGGAGCTCTGAGTTTGATTGTGAGACCCTGCTTCAGTAAATAGGGTAGAAGACTGATCTAACATGATCCAAAAATCAACTTCAGGCCTTCACATGCACTTGCACCTATACTCCTGCACTTACACATATGTAAAAACATGTATACACACTTGCAACTCACACATACACACATGAAAAGTAGAAAAAATAAATATGCCTACAGTCAATCACCTCTATAACAGTACTTAACACTTATTTGTGCCAGAGAGTATTCCAAGTGCCTTTAATGTATCAATTTATTTAATTCTCTTCTCTGTCCTGGGATATGGAGGAACAAAAGGTTAGATAACTTGCCTTATATCACAAACTATTACATACATAAAAGTCTTAAATAATGTAGCAGAGCACACCGTCAGACATACATAGTTGTGAAGGCAGACACCAGAAGCCATGCAGAGGCACACCAGCATCTATAAGAGCATCCCTATGAAAATGCCACCCATAAATGTTTATCTTTCTCCAAGTCTGCTATGTTGTCCATAATTTTAAAGGCCAGTATAACACGAGAAAGATGCGACGGCGCCTGAGGCTGCTTAAAAAACAGTGATGTGTTTGACCCCCTAATATCCTTTGAGTATCATCACAGCTACCTATGTACATCTTTCCCACATGTTTTATCACTTCACATATGGATTTCTACGCTCAGTACTTCTAACATACTTCTACCCTTCACCAGCCCCCCCATACCACCCTCACTCTTCGTTCTGTCCTTATAAGCACTGGTCTTTCATACAAATACCACATCTTCTTTCTACTTTTATAGAGTGACTTAATGTATGATAAGCTCAGTATCATTATTGATGTCTTGGCTGAGGAGGCAGCAACTACTTCTGTTGAGAAAAGTGCTGCAATATGTGCAGATAGTGACAAAGCAGAGGGAAAGCCCTTCATCTCGCAAGTAGACCACATAGCCAAATCCAAAATGGAGTTGACCACAAGGGCCCAGAATCTCCAGAAATCCTTGAAACTCATCATATTCCAAGTTGAACAAGGTAAGACACAGAGTTGTTGTGATTATGGTAGGGAAAGAAAGTTCCTATGGCTGGCTTAGTGATCCATCTTAGTCTGGGTTTGCTTTCTGACCTCACAGACAAAATTCGACTGGATTCTGCATTCATGTTGTATTCAAAGCCAGTCTTCTGACTGCTGGTTTGGAAAGCCTCCATTCAGAATAACCTGTCCTTTTGACTTCTACTTCCCAGGCCCTCAGCTCTTCCATTTATTTAGTTTTGGAAATGACACTCATCCAAAACAACCACAAGTGGTATAAATAACACTGCTCACAGCTCATTCAGTTTCATTTATAGTCATGGAATTTTCTCTATCTGCTAATACTTCTTTCCAACCAGCAAGACTAATCACCAGCCTGTGGCTATTTTAGAATGAAAATGGTGCTCATCTCTGCATGTCTCGTACAGTAGTAATGAGGCATAAGGGTGCTGAGAACGGCCCTGCTGACTGACAGTGATTGCCATTGCCCAGAAATCCTGACAAGCTCCAAACTCCCAGTTTCCCCAACTTCCTCATAACAACATTTTGATGATCACTTCTTCCCACAATGCTCCTTTGAAAAATAAATTAAAATGATGTTGTGAGACAGATTGCGTTCTAATTGAGCCATTGGTAGCAAAGAATTTGCTAAGAAATTTTCAATTTTTATTGAGCTTCTATATATTTCATACAACAGCTCTAAATTTTTCTAGCCTTTGCTTTTTAGACATGTTACCTCCCCCCTGCCTTGGTACCTTTAGGAGAAATCTCAGCCATGTTTCTAAGAAAGGATATCTCCTTTCTATATTGTAGAATAATAAAATGATCACTTTGCTTCTATTCCTATTGTCAGTTTCCAGGAATTAATCAAACATTTTGCTTCTATTTCTATAGCAACAAAGATCAGATTAATGTGATGTAGCCATAGCTCTGTCACAACTGATCTTCAGTTTGTTCTATCAACACAAATTAAATTTAAAAGTACAGTTCATGGCTATGGGACAAATAAGGATTCCCTAGTAAGGTAGGGAATAAACATATGAGCTTTGGCACAGGCTAAACACCTGAGCTATACAACATGGAGGCTGATGGAAGTGGTGACATCTCAAATGTGCTGGGTAATGGGTGAGGCATTTGAACGAAGGCATAGTGGTCTGGATATACAGTTCAATGGATAAAAGCACTTGACACACAAGCCTGATTTCACACCCCAAGAGCCTATGTAAAAAGCTGGACATAATAACACACACACACACACACACACACACACACACACCACGCACGCACACAAATACACATATATAAGCATGGCCTAGAGTTTCAAGTATGAACAAATGTCATGTGACTACATGAACTAAAAAATGGAGGTAAAAGTGAACAGTATTTCCCACCCTGTTACCCCCATCTCCACCCCCAAGAACTCAGAACTATGTACTGCATAGGTAATAGAAAAAGAGTAACCAAGAAAACAAAAAGTTCAATCATGGGAGTACAAGTGTACCATGAAAGCATATCCTGGTGAAAATGGGAGTGTGGTTGTTTGCACACACATAGATGCTCAAAAAATAAAGTTTGATAAATGTGCCCAATCTTCCCTACTCTTCTTCCTTTATCCCATACCGCCTTCCCTCCTTCCATTTCTTCCTTTCAATTTTCCCTGTAGTTCTGAATGAGGAAAGCAGACAGACAATATCGGTCAAGAACTTCACATCAACTTTCTTCCTGGGAGATGATGACTCAGATTTTAACCAGATGAGCCCAAAACACCGTAAGGACTTTTCTTTTCTTCTCTTATTCTAGCCTTTCATTAATGCCACCTAGTTCCCAGGGAATAAATAAATATGTTTATGCATCTGCCTTTGGACATACCCTTACTCTGTGTCATTCCAGTGTTCATAGTAATGACCATGTTAGACACTTTGTAAAGACCGCTCTGATGAAAGCCAATTTGTTTTCACTGTCAGCAAACAAGCAGTCCAGTCTTACACTTCTCTCAAGTTCCTATCCACATAAGAGGATCTAAGGGCTCCTCTTTGGAGTCAGAACCTGGAATATTATTTAAGAGAAAGTCATTGAGCTCAACCCTCCCCCAGCAGAGGAAAAAAAGGGTTAATTAGAAGAGGTGAAAAGGGCTTTGCTGTTTGTATTAGACTCCAAAGTGATTTTTTTGTGTGTGTGTTTAGGTTCTCGTTGTGGCACTTTGTCTTCTATGTCTTCTCTCAAAAGTGAAGACCTACATAACCTTGACTTAGAACACCTACATTTCACATCTGAAACGATGTAAGTATTCAACTTGATAACCTTTTAGTGGCTTTTTATCTCCCTGGCTAATAGCCCACTCTCACCATATCCAGAGTCAAATTCTGATTCTACTTATTAGTTCTACAACCTACACAGTGACTTAACCATTGTAAACCCTGGTTTCTTCAAATGTAATGGAGATAATTATTGGACTTTCCATATAAGTTTTCTGTATTTTTTGAGTTTATATCTGAAAAGTACTTGGCATTTTGTGGTGCTTGGCACTCAAAGTTATATATATTTTCTAACTCTGATTGTTATGACTTATAACAATTTATTTTACTTTTTTTTGACTTTTTGAGATGGGGTCTCCCTGTAGCCCCAGATGTCCTGGAACTCACTAAGTAGACCTGGCTGGCCTTGAACTTACAGAGATCCGCCTGCCTCTGCCTACCGAGTGCTGGGATTAAAAGTGTGCACCACCAAGCCCGGCTAAGTGCTATATATTTTATCAGTTACTATTATGACAAACCCTTAATAAATGTTAGTTGTTATTTCAGGTGACTTGTTTTCCCAGTGTTGTTTGTAACTGTAAATAGTTGAAGATACTAAAAAACAAACAGTTATTTAAGGGACTGGATAACAAATCTAAGGACACTTTTCTCACTAGTCCCACTTCTTTAGAGTATTCCCAGCAGTCAAATTCAGCCACATTTAGTCATTTTTATTTCTTTTAGATGAATTGTGAAATTAGTTAAAGAAACCAATTTCTGAACTATGATCAAGGAAGGAAAGTTCATGTAAGTTTAGAAATTAATTAAAAAGCTGCCTATGGTTAAATAGCTAAATTATATTTCTTGTCAGTTTCTCCAAGGAAGGGTACAATTAGCAAATATTTCTGAAACAATTTGTCTAAGAAAATAATTCTTACTCATGTCTCCAACTGCCCCCAAACCCCTTTTCACCATTGGGTTAGGTTTTTATTTGACATCTCATAGGTCTCCCTAATGAGTTTTGATAAATAGTGCACTAGCAAGTGTCCAACAACCAACTGTGAAAAGAGGATGTCTGATTTGTTCCTTGTGTAAACCCCCTTACAGTTACCTGTTGTTATTATTATTATATTATTATATATT